AATAATGAGAAACTATGAAATAAGAAATGAATAAAACTAAAATATAATTATCATATCATGTATTATAATGTATTGTATTATTAAGTAATATCATACATTAACCCCATTATAGCAGATGCCACATTGAATGGATGAACACATTTATGCATCAATAATTTTATTTTTATTGTATTTCTAAATACAAGTTGTAAAAATACTTATATGTATTTAATATTAACCCTTTGGAGTCAACCGTCACGCCGGCGTGATCAGATCACATGACCTGTGCCGCATAATAACAACAGTCCCGACAACATTGCCGTGTGTTTCTGTCGAAAGTACTGGCTTGGAACTATATCCCAGTCTTTGTTTCATGCAAAAAGACCCAGTAAACACGGAGAGACGATGATATAAAGTTAATACATTTCAAAAGTATGAAAAATGGAAGCACATATTTGAATATATTCGCCGCATTTGATCATTTTACGAAACGGAAAATACTGGAAACTGTAGATCCTGCTCAACAGGATGTATATGTGTATTTCTGTCGAAAGTACTGGCTTGAAACTATATGCCAGTCCTTGTTTCATGCAAAAAGACCCAATAAACAGACACAAATAAACACGGACATACGATGATATAAAGTTAATACAGATATATTTCAGAAGTATGAATAATGGAAGCACATATTTTAATATCTTCGCCGTATTTGATAATTTTACGAAACGGAAAATACTGGAAACTGTAGATTCTGCTCAACAGGATGTATTTACCAGGGAGGGGGTGAGGTAATCAGGTAAACGGAGTGATACGAAACGAGACGAAAAGAGACGAAGAGGGACGGCGGGAACCGAAGAGAGACGGCGGGAAATGAGAGAGACGAAGATATACGAAGACAGGCGGCGGGAGACGAAGAGAGACGGCGGGAGACTGGATTGAAGTAAAGTGACAGACAAACATTGAGAATTTAGATATAGTTAGATAGATTTAGAGTTTTGAAGATTCAACTATGATGAAGAGAACTCTGAACGTGAGTCAAGCTTTAAGCTTGTTTTTTGACATGGAGGAGGAGGAGCCTGTGATGTTGCCCTCTGTGTCGTATTGACAGAAACCGCTTTGAAGCGTGGCACAGATAAAGACAGAAAAAACTGATTTTTGTACATAATGTGTATATATATATATTTGTATTATATTTATAATAACACTTTTTCCTTATCAGAATGAAATCCCATGCTACCTCAATCAAACTTTCACATTATCATAGTGACATCCCATGTATATATTTCCAGCTTTTAAATGGTTTCGTTGTGTATGTTTGTGTTACCTATGAAAAATAATATCATTTTCAAAATCTGTTTATACGTTTTTTTTTTGTGATTTTGGGTCCAAAATGTTCATATAGTAGAAGATCACTGCTCTAAACAAAGTCAAAAATCCTACATCCAAACGAAATAAATATAATTAATTATGATGAATACGTTAAGTCTTGTTCATTGTTTTTCACTTTTATTAAATGTTTGATATTTCCGGTGGAAATGGTGGACTATCGGACATTCAAAATGCAGCATATTTTCACTCTTACACACATATATTAGAGCTGTGGAATGTGACCCTTGGGAGAATTCCTCCACACATTCCGATGGCCAATTCGTTTTAAACAACGAGTTCGCACCCCAGGACAGCATAGGCAACATGGGGGGTGGGGGCTGGTGAACGGTCTGGTCAATGTTTGTAAACACAATCCCCAGGATGTGTCCTAATCAGGAGCCGTGTAAATGAGAGACTGAGGAGCCCCCGAAAAACAGATCCCGAAATAGCTCGTCCTGGTGGGTATACTACGAAGCAGGATTTTCGCTTAGCCGGCTAAATTCAGGGAAAACTCCGGCTTTCCGGTCCTACGAAGCTGGTTCTCTTTTTAGCAGGCTAGATCTCCATGGTAACTTATGCTTAGCGGCTAACCTGGTCGGGACCAGGTTAGGTTGCAGGCTAAGAGCTCAACTCAATGAAAGCACTGCCTGCTGACCAATCAGAGCTCAGTGTGCGGAGTTTAAAGCGATCAAGTCATATTACAGGAGAAAGGAAATACAGAAAAGCTGCCGTCGCAGGAAAGACGGCCGGCAAAAATCACCGACTGTGTGAACGTGAACATTAATAGAATATCACCTCACATCTTCAGAGCAATCTGACTATTATAACATTAGCGTTAAGAAAGCTTACTTAAATATCTGCCACAACATAAGTAACCGGATCAGAGTAACATTAAGTAGCCTACAGTCCGCGGCATATCACTTAATGTAGCCTATCATATATTTTCTTATCTGAGTCAGCTGAGCCGTATCTGGCCGTGCAACACTCAGTGTCACATACTGTATGCAGAAGTATTATTTTAAGCAACACATTAAGTTGACGAAACACTCGAGACAAATGTAATTAAAGTCAGATCGTGTCTTAGACAGGGCAGTGATATCATAAACCTGTTAATGTACGCATTCAAACACTTTTTCTTTTGCCAGCTGTATTCACCTTGCAGGTGCAGACTATGTGGCTTTTATCCTGGATAAAGTGTTTAAGTCATGGATGTTTAAAGCTTAACTTCTTCATTTTTGACTAGTATTAAAGTTCACTTTTCATTCAGGAAGTATGACGCTGCGCTGTCAGTATGCTTCTCCATGTTTGTGATTGGTCGAATGCTCCAGATACCACCCCTTTCATGTGAACGCGCACCTAACTAGATAGGAAACGGCTGGTTTGAGCGATCCACTTGATAACCAGCGTCGTAGTACAGTTTAGCGAGAGCGCGTATGTTTTGGATTAGGCCAACCGGCTAACTCAAACATATCCAGGTTAGGTTGAACCAGTTTCGTAGAACAGGCCCCTGGTTTCCGCAGCAGATACAGTGTTTCCCACAGATATGAAATATACTTGGGCGGGTGGTGGCAAGGGGGGGGGGGGGACTGCGCGAAAAAAAAAGAAAAAGTTTTAACAACATTATTTATTGACTTTTCATTCCGGTATAATCATTTTGCGCAAAGATGGCACTGTTTGTCAGAGCACTTCATCCTTCTGGGATTTCATGAAGAACAGCTCCAACGCCTGTGTGTATGGGAATGCCTCTGGTGCTGGTCCATTAACTGCCAGTGTTTCCCACAGATCTGAAATATACTTTGGGGGGTGGTGGTAGCGGGGGGGGGGGGGTTGAGGTGACGTGCAACAACATTAACCTTTCTGTTGGTCGCTTGTTAGCAGACCCTTCACGCGATGGCAGAGCGAACAGGTACAGGTACAGGCAGGGTCCATAATGATAGCCCTATAGTTTAAATCTACTACCCACACATGAACATATGGAAATGGGTTACTATTTAAAAAAATAAATGTATTTATTAATGTATTTAGGAACCTATCCATGTGATTTTTAGTGGGGGTCGACCTCAAATCCTCTAGGGGGGTCCAGGGGCATGCCCCCCCGGTAAGATTTTTTTTATTTTGGAGTTAAATGCATCAATCTGGTGCATTTTGAGGGGAAAATAAAGAGACTAGATCTATGGAAACACCTATATTTAACAGAACTGTATACATTTCAATAATCATAAAATCAAGGCCATAACCAAAAACATACCATTTCCAATATCAAAAAAACGATTCAAGCCCTTCTTAGACTTGACACATTAATAATTGTTTCACTTTACTTAAATATTTTTATTTAAGAAATAAACCTAAGTATAGTTCATTAGTGTAACACAAATTACATTAATCAATTCACTTATTAAATGTATTTAAGACAGAGCAACTCAAAATGAATTGTTTTCATTTGGGACCGCCCCTTTGCACATCACCTTTGCGCATGCACAAGATCCGTTCTGTCATTTGCCGCCTTTTGTCTAACACTGACTGGAAACTGACTGGGGAAACTGACGGTGGAAAGTCTATTATTTGGTAAGTATTTGTTTTTTCTAGTAGTTTAGAATGTTCCCTGTTTCCAAGTAGGCCTAATGCCTTTTCATTATATCGACAAGAATATTTGAAACCACCGTGTTATATTTTGCTCCGTTTTTAGTTGGGTCTAAACAGCAAGCTAGCTAGCTTGCTAGATATGGTTAGCATTGAATACTGGATAGTAGAGATCATTAGATTATATTAAATTAGATGTCACGTTATTGTCATTGAACACAGTACACCGAAATTCAGTTTAAATTCAACCAAAAAATGCAAAGAGTAATTCAAGTGCACGAGGTAAAGCAGCAAGCTAGCTAGCTGGATAACTGGTTTGTTAGCTAGCTTGCTAGATACGGTTAGCATTGAATACTGGATAATGGAGATCATTAGATTATATTACATTCGATTTAACGTTATTGTCATTGAACACATTGCCTGTTGATGTCCTTAATGAGGGAGTCGTGTCTACACTGAAACAAAGTTTCCCAGATGTGACTGAGGTTCATATGGCAAACAATGTGTCTAGCTTGGGTATACGTTACTGCGAGGGGATGATTATTGTACACGGATCTGCAGATGGACTGCCTAAATTCCATGAGATCATTAAACTTTGCATTGTTAAGGAGAAGTTGTGTTTTCTGGTAAAAGACGCATGTGCTTGGTACAGAGAGCATTATGGTGCTTTTGAGCTGTCTGCCTCGCCCAATACAGAGGTTGCCGTTATTGAGCTTGCTGACTTGGTAGACCCCTATCCCCTTGTTGACTACATGGTTGGGAGTTTGCGCATGGTAATGTTGAAAAGATTCATCATTGTTAAAGGTGAGTATCATTTTTAAACCTAAATAGTCTGAGCTCTGGATAGCAGGCTCTGACAAAAACTGTAAAACCATTTTTATGTTCATCTTTGATATAATCCTAATGTGTTTCTTTCACCTTGTTTCTGCTCTAGATTAAAAGGTGTTCCATAATGGCAGGTCGGGCGCTTCTGCGCATCATCTTTGCCGACCAGTCTGACTCTAGAAAACTGACCCTGGATTCGGGAATCCCAGCAACAGTTGAAGAACTGCACACATTTGTCAAGACATGAATCTTACATCAGTGTCTGAAATTCAGGATAAAAGCACACTGAAAGTAATTTACTCTCCTATATTGTCAAATATTGAGCCCTCCATCACTTTGTACACAGTTGACTCATTTGATAAGACCTCAATTACTGGAAGCTCAGAGCCTCTAATCCCTGAATCATCAATAGCCTCATGCTGCAGTGATGATATGGTGTATACGTCAACCCCGCATCCATCCCCTGAAGCTCAGGCCTCACAATTGTTATCCTGGCCCACAGTTTTTGTGGTTCCTAAGCTCACCTACGAGGCTGAATTTGAGCTTCATCTAAAGAATGCAGAGTTTGAGACAACTGGTACATACTTCCAGCCTGGCCTAAAGCTGAAAGGAGTCATTCTTGATGGCCTAGCCCAAGAAATGATCAAATTCACAAAATATCCGAAAGACTATCAGTGTGAAGAGGTAGCTGCAGCGTTGACGAGGGCCCACCCTTGTTTGGGGCAGCTAGGATCCAAGACAGGATTTGGGGGGTGGAAACAGTCTCTTAAGTACAAAATGCAAAACTATCGTACAAAGCTTGGCCGTCTTGGACATCCTGAAATCCTTGTGAACTCCTTAAAGCACAAGAAAACAGGCCAAGGCAAAGCTGCAGCAAACATAAAAAAACCAAGAAAAGCTGAAGTAAACTACATTCCTCTGCACCCAAAAGGCGAAACCACAGAAAGCTTGGAGAACGAGAGAATTGCCTTATTGTCAGAACTGAAAAAGCGTGACAATGAAGTGGTGATAAAAGCAAAAATGGAAAAAACCTTCTCCCACAGACGCCTTGAGATTGTGGAGCAAAGGCCTTTGATAGGGGACTTCAAATGCAGATGGCCTGCTCTGTTTCAGCAGAGTGAAGTAAGTAAATATTTGTATTTGTTGACAGTCTTTTATTATTGTCTTTTGTGATTCATGTCTACATCCTTGCATGGTTGTGATTCTAATAAACAAGTAACAATTGGTTGTATTGTGCTTGTTAATAATATTTTTAAGGTGAATGCGGAGTTTTTGAGGATCACAACATCACCACTTCAATCAAAGTTCATGTGGCAGCTGGACCACTTCTCAGACAAGCTCTTGAAGATCTTCAAGACCAAAGGAGGAGTGAAGGGGCACAAAATCAAGGAAGCCCTTGCAATATCAGATTCGGTTAGTATAAATGCAGAGAACCTCGTTTTTCACTGTATTGTTTTTGTCCATGATCATATGAACACATTTAAGAAATTGTCTGCTTTTATAGTGTTTTTAAGGCAATAGCTTATTGTGGAAATGTAGGTGTAAGGAGTCCTGCTTAGGGACACACACGACAGATACAGCCCTCTACGTTGTAAACTACCTGCTCTGTTGCACATGCATTGTGCTTAATTGTCTTTGATTTATCGCCCCTGCTTTAGTTTGAAAACATCCACATCAAGAGGGGGTGCATCCTGCGAAGCATCGCGATCTACCTCAACGAGGATCCAGACTCTTTTTTTAAGGAGTATCAGGTATGTTTATCACAATATGTTTTCAATGTATTGGTTAACAGTGTTACCCACAATTATAACCACCATTACTTACATTTATAATAAGAAAATTATATGGCACACAACCCTATCCCTGCTTACATCTAAATATCTTATCACATATCATAAATACATGCAGAAATAAATAAATCTATACATTAATATAGGAATGAATATATGTAAGAATGAATAAATACAGAAATAAAAAAATAATAATAAATAGATACAGAAGTAATTTCATCGGGCAAGTGTTAAAATAAATATAGAAAAAAGTGAATTAATACATTTATACAGATATAAATACATCTATAAATTAACATAGGAATACAATTGATAAATACAAATGTGAATTAAAACATGAATATATCTGGAAATAAATACAAATAATAAATGAATGCTGAAATAAATATTTACATTTATATATAAATACATCTATAAATGAATAAATAAATATGGACATGAATACATATGTAAGAACTTATAAATAATTGAATAAATACATAAATAAAATAATAAATAAATGCTGAAATATATTAATCAATAGATTCATGTTTAAAAAGGTATGTGAATGCAGCAATTACTAAATTGTTAAAGGAATAATTACATAATCACATAAATCAAGGAAATAAATTATTAAAGAATAAATAATCAAATACATATCGAAATAAGTAGGTAAATGCATAATTAACTACAGGAATAACAACAAATTACATTATTAAGTAGGGACGTAAACAAATAATACCTGAATTAATAAATAAGATAACGTTGATAATCAAACAGAACATACAGGAATATATCTTTATAACTTATTTATGCAAACATTTTCTTACAAGCTTAATTTAGTTCTGTGTTGGAGGTCCTAACCTTCTCTGGTATCACTCGGACATTTTTGTCCAAATTGGTAATTTTTCACATCAGATTTGGCTATAATGATTTTGTGTTTTTTCTAGATACTTTTTGGAATTTCAATTTTTCTAATCGGTCTCGAATACACTGTACAAATTACCCTAATTGTCCATTTAAAAAATGTTCCCACACTTCCCAAAAAGTGTGGGGGAAAAATATTTAAATATAATATTTGTATCATATCATTTTATCATTCAAGTTTTTGAAAGTGGACATTTTTATCCTGAGTGGCCAAATAGGGTAGTACATTTGAGTGATACCAGAGGGTTAGTCTAAAACTGTTTTGATCAATTAGGAGAGCCACATAAGTAAATCTGCTTCTATAAAATGTAGTAATTCAGGTTTTAGTTAACACATATGTTGTATGTTTGTGTCTTTGTTCAGGCCTCTGCCTCTGAAGATGCCAAGAGGGACATGGCAAACACAGTCATGGGCATATACACACTTCAAAGAGATGTGGATGGGCAGCCAGAGGACGTGGGAATTGTCATCGAAGGCAATATAGTCATGGACAACTTGGGCAGCGTGATTGTGGGGTTTGTCATGCTATTGGGACTTATTTATGCCCTGGATTTGAGCTTTCCGGACAACCTCAAACACACCTTCGAGTTCATGCAGAAGGTAGTGATGAATCTGGATGGGCACAAGCTGAATGGTAAAATCGAAAGTCTGAAGATCAAGTTGTTCGATTGAAATGTGAAAAAGAAGTGACTCATGAGTTCATTGTTGTCATTTTATTCACGAGTTTCCTAGTCAGAGCAGATTGAGCCGTTATATCAATCATTTGTTCTGTGCTTTTCTGTATTTGTTTCAACACACTGTAACACTATTTCCATATGTTGGTGTTTGCAGTGCACTCTTTATGTTATGTGTTATTGTCCTGTTAGAAGAGCAGTGCATACCCCTGTTATATTGTATTCATTGTATTTGGCAAAGGGAGATTTGTAAGTTAATTATAGGAGTTCCATTTCTCTGCCATTTTAAAAATGGTATTATCTTTCAGAAATGTTTTTCATCTTTCAGTGTGAATTCATTCATTTTAAAAAGACTGTATTGAATGGAGGATTGTTTTGAATAATGTGAATTTAAAAATAAAAAAAACTAAACCATGTTTTCTATCATGTGTAACACATTTTTATTAAATTATATTTAACCTCATTATTTCATTTTCAATTAATTAAATAGGATTTAGGTGGACTAGCATTATTTAAATTCATAAAGGTAATGTTATCATTTTACTTAAACTCTATTTGAAAAATTTGAGTTGGACTAACTCATTTACATTATACTGCATGGATGCCATTAGTTTGAGTTTGTGCCACATATATTTATTGGATGGAAAACCTGCCAACAATAAAATTGAGTTAATCCAATGAGTTATTTCTTTGAGTGTATGTAAAAAAACACTGAAACTTGTTTATTAATTTAGTTTTGGTTCATTTATAGTTGTGAGTGTGTCTGTGCTCCTGAATCAGCCTCTCCTGTCTCCCTCCTCTCCCCCCTCTCCATCCTCTCCCCCTGCTCCTCTTTGAGGCAGCAGCAAAGTCTTCTCTCAACAAGTTTTAAAAGTGTATCTTACCTTTTTTCACCTAGTTAACTTTTTATTTATTTATTCATGCATATTTTATTAATCACATTACATTTCATTTAGCTGACGCTTTTATCCAAAGCGACTTATAATGACCGATTACAGGGACATTCTCCCTGGAGTAACTAAGGGATAAGTGCCTTACTCAAGGGCACACTAGTGTTCCTGGCGGGATTTGAACTCACAGCCTTCCGATCTTCAGCCCACCTCACTATCCATTAGACCAATCACTACGCTCTCAAATGGAAATATGTGTTTACATAAATGGTGACCACACCGTTTGAGACCCACTGAGAACTTAGACTAAGTTAACTATCTAAACACTCAGAGAGTGCTTTACCTCACCTGAGCTGAGGTTATCCCGAGCTTGAATGACACACAGAGACCAATCAAGGGCTTTGATTTATGATCTCTATGACAGTGGCCATGTCGGCAGGCCACATCATGTGGACAGCCAGTCACCCTGTGTGAGGCAGGCCACTTAACAGGCCAGAAGGAGGCGAGATCAGAGCAAGGGAGCGAGGGATCATTGTCTACAAGTTAATCGATCGCAGATGGCGTCGTGGTCACGGACGAATACAAAAAATATATATAAAAAAACAAAATTATAAAAAAAAAAAAAATGGGTCGCGAAATATACTTGGGCGGCCGTTAATATACCTGGGCGGCCCGCCCAAGTATAGTCTATGTGTGGGAAACCCTGGGCCTACAGTATGGTGTCTGTGTTATGTCAGTTATTTTCAATAAAACGTTGAAAACTGAACTTGAAAATGGTTTCCTCTTTTTATTTTATTTATCATTTTCGGGTCGGGGAGACGTGATTAAAAATTAATTTGCAGAAATGTAAAGTGTTCTAACTAAGTTCTATTCATATTCTTGACGGGAAGAGCAGTGTAAATGGGTGGCCATATGCATTTGAAAAGCAATATAAATCACACAGTTATTATACAATAGGCTATAAAAGCACCATCGATAACCATTACCTTTATCCAATTCAAACTTTGGACGGGAAAAAAGGAAGGTGTACATGGTTGGGCTATACTGTAGGCCCAGGGGCGGCGGGTGCTGTAGGCTAGGGAAGGCTAAGCCTTTCCAAATATTTGTGTAACTGCATCCTGGTAAAATAAAAATATAATGTCTTTGACATTAGCGCTGCTATGCAGCCACCTGTGCCCTGTACCACGAAGCCAGTTCAACAGACCCTGGATATGCTTGAGTTATCTTAACTAACCCTAACAAACGCGAACTCGCTAAACGGTCCTACGGCGCTGGTTATCAACTCGGTAAATCAAGCCAGGGTTTCTCTCTCCAGCTGAGAACGCGTTCACGCGAAAGGGGCGGGGTTAGCTACATTTGACCAATCACAAACAGGGACAAGTGTACTGACAGCGCAACATCATACTTCATTAATGAAAAGTAAACTAATATTAGACAAATATGAACTTTAAACATCCATGATGACTTAAACATGTAATCCAGGATACAAGCCACATAGTTGCACCTGCAAGGAGAATACAGAACAACTCGTTAAAAAATAAACTACCGAGTGTTTGAAAGTGTACAACAGTTTTATGATACTGCCCCATCTAAAACACGAGGGGATCTGACTTTATTACATTTGAGTTGAGTGTTTCGTCAACTTAATGTGTTGCTTAAAATAATACGTCTGCATACAGTATATGTGACAATGTAACTAAGTGTTGCACGGCCAGATACGGCTCGAGAAGCTGACTCAGATAAGGAAATATTGTGATATCGATGTGAGATCGATGATCTGATTGATGATGTGATGTCAGTGTGATATGAATGATAAGTGCGACACGTCGGCGTCTTCTCTGCATACGGCAGTTTAAACTGCATTTCCTTTTTCCTGTAATATGACTTGATAGATTTAAACTCCGCACACTGAGCTCTGATCGGTCAGCAGGCGGTGCTTTCACTGAGTTGATCTCTTTTCTATAGACGCCGGAGGCGGGCAGCGTAAGATGAAAAAAAAAGTTATTTAGCCTTCCCAAACCTGAGCCTCACGCGCCGCCTATGTGTAGGCCTACTGTATACATACAAAGGCCATTCAAGCTAGAGTTCTTCTGGAAATGTTCACATCAGGCACCTTCAAGTTAAACAATACTAAACAATTAACACAGTAGGCCTAAATTATGTGGATTAAACCACATTTATTTCGTTAAAAATAAACGAAATATGATTTAGTTTGAATGATTAAATGTCATCAGGCACCTTCAAGTTAAACAATCAGGTGCACACTTTAATGTGCCGCCACCTCCGGATTCGGCTTGACTCGGTTTAAAGAATGCACAAATGTGTTTAATCGTTTATGTCAGATATGTACCAAGTAGCCTAAATACATTTGTTCCTGCTCAAGATTAGATTCAACTTTATTGTTATTGCACATATTGCAGGTACTGAGACAACGAAATGCAGTTTAGCTTCTAACCAGGTGCAACAAGCAGCGAAAAGTAATGTGCACAATACTACAGTAAACAATTAACACAGTAAATTATGTGGATTAAACCACATTTATTTCGTTAAAAAGAAACGAAATATGATTTTGTATGAATGATTAAATGTAGGGTGAATTGCCCTAATGTGGGACATTTTTTCTTTTCAGACTTCGGGAATATATTGCGATATGAAGCCGATACAATAAATCTAAATCCAGTTGGCCACCATTCCGAAATCCCCAGTAATATTAGACACTAATAATACAGTAAACTATTAACACTGTACATATTATTGTTTGCCCGTGGGATTAGGATGATCGGTAGTGAGACCCGTGCTGCATTTTCCTCCGGTCGGATGTGATATAAAAACAAAGCGATTATTTTTGTTGTTGTAAACTCACGTGGATTACATTTAGTGCATTCATTTCAACTCGCGAACATATGATACAATAAATGATCGTGAGGATGATGATTGAAAATCGTTTGTTTGAGCCTGGATGCATTTCCTGATCTAAAAACATAGTGATGGTTTTGTATTTACGCCAACGTGAATTAAACATTATTTTGTTAAATAAAAACATGGGGATGTTTAGTAAATGATTACATGTCTCTTATTTAGCACAGAATATGATCCTATCCGTGACATATGGATCTTAACAAATATCCGCTATATCAGATACCTGTAGATCAGCTGTTTATTTCACATGAGTTCCAGTGTGGCAGCTTTTTAATCACGGCTCCCCCTGGTGGATCCATTATCCATTGCAGCTGGTTTCATTATAATTAAATGTATTTATCAAGGGGGCGTTTCAAGTCCTGCGGGGGGGGGTTTCCTTTTCAGCAGGGGCCCACCCCGTGCCGATCACGGACCCGCACGGGTAGGCGTCTGAAATGGAGCGCTTCATCTGTAAGTTATATTCTTGTTTAATTAGACTTCTCGGTTTCATTTATTCGACTCTGTATAATTGTTACTGTAGCTTAAACGGCTAAATCGCTTTTGAGAGATTTTAAATCTCAGATCTGCTCAGGCGAAACCTGCTTTACAGCTCTCAGCACTCAAGCCTGCATTATTAACATAGGCAGGGCCAGTCTATTGATTGCGTGAAGTAGAACCGCGTGACTCAGTCATCCTTTAGCTCAAAAAGCATTTAAATACCGCATTTAGAAACTGATGAACTCAGTGTGCATCTGGACCTGGTGACGACATTACCTATTGACGCAGCAACCACTGTAAGTTATATTCTTGTTTAATTAGACTTCTCGGTTTCATTTATTCGATTCTGTATAATTGTTACTGTAGCTTAAACGGCTAAATCGCTTTTGAGAGATTTTAAATCTCAGATCTGCTCAGGCGAAAAGCACTTTCTTTCAAGATAAGATCCAATCTTCCTATTCCAATCCTAAAACACTATTTTCCATCTTCTCCACCCTCTTGGACCCTCCAAAAGCTCCTCCCCCCTCCTCACTTCTGTCAAGCGACTTTGTTACCCACTTTGAAAAAAAGGTTAATGATATTCGCTCTTCTTTTTCTGACTCACCTTTACTCACCGCTGGGTCACCAGACCGTCCTTCCACCAACACACTAACCTCCTTTTCCCCTCTCTCTCCAAGTGAGGTTCTTACCCTCATTACCTCTGCCCGCCATACCACCTGTCCTCTGGACCCTATCCCTTCAAACCTCCTTCAGACTATCGCTCCTGATATTCTACCGTTTCTCACCCATTTCATCAACACTTCTCTAACTTCTGGTCACTTTCCAAACAGTCTCAAGGAGGCAAGAGTAAACCCTCTCCTAAAGAAACCCACTCTCAACCCGTCTGATGTTATAAACTACAGGCCTGTCTCTCTCCTCCCGTTCCTGTCTAAATCACTTGAACGCGCTGTCTTTAAACAACTCTCCTGTTATCTCCATCAGAACAACCTTCTGGATCCGCACCAGTCTGGTTTCAAGGCAGGTCACTCCACAGAAACTGCTCTCATTGCTGTCACGGAGGAACTGCACACTGCCAAAACTGCATCCCTCTCCTCTGTCATCATCCTGTTGGACCTGTCTGCTGCATTCGACACGGTGAATCATCAGATCCTCCTTCGCACTCTCCAAAAACTTGGAGTTTCAGGCTCTGCACTTTCCCTCCTCACCTCATACCTGAAAGACCGTACCTACAGGGTGACTTGGAGAGGGTCTGAGTCCGACCCTTGTCAATTAACTACGGGGGTCCCTCAGGGCTCTGTTCTTGGTCCCCTCCTCTTCTCCCTGTACACAAACTCGCTCGGATCAGTCATTAGCCCGCATGGTTTTTCTTACCACTGCTACGCTGACGACACCCAATTAATTCTGTCCTTTCCCCGCTCAGAGACCCAGGTCGTCGCACGCATCTCTGCTTGTCTAGCTGACATCTCTCAGTGGATGTCTGCTCACCACCTCAAGCTCAACCTTGACAAGACTGAGCTGCTCTTCCTCCCGGGAAAAGATTGTCCAACTCTTGACCTGACAATCAACATCGGCACCTCAGTTGTTTCCCCGACTCAGACTGCAAGGAATCTGGGTGTGACCCTAGATAACAACCTGTCCTTCACTGCAAACATCGCTGCTACAACCCGTTGCTGCAGATACACGCTTTACAACATCAGGAAGATACGTCCCCAGCTGACTCAGAAAGCGACTCAGGTTCTGGTCCAGGCTCTCGTCATCTCACGCCTAGACTACTGCAACTTCCTCCTGGCTGGTCTACCTGCATGTGCCATCCGACCTCTGCAGCTCATCCAGAATGCAGCGGCTCGTCTGGTTTTCAACCTTCCTAAATTCTCCCACACCACTCCGCTCCTCCGCTCCCTTCACTGGCTTCCGGTAACTGCTAGAATCCACTTCAAGACACTGGTACTTGCTTACCATGCTGCGAATGGATCTGGCCCTTCCTACATCCAGGACATGGTTAAACCGTACACCCCAGCGCGTGCACTACGCTCTGCATCAGCCAAACGACTCGTTGCGCCCTCGCTGCGAGGGGGACCCAAGTTCCCATCGGCGAAAACACGTGGGTTTGCTGTCCTGGCTCCAAGATGGTGGAATGAGCTCCCCATTGACATCAGGACGGCAGATACCTTGCACATCTTCCGGCGCAAACTGAAAACTCATCTCTTTCGACTCCACTTCGAGCGTTAGAACTATTAACGAAGCACATTTATACTAATAAAGGACTGGCTTACCTAAAGCCAGTTGAGTAGCACTTGAAATGTTTGGCTCTATGAAACCTGATGTACTTATATGATTCTGTTTTCTTCAAGGTTGTGTCCTCCTGGTCGAATGTACTTATTGTAAGTCGCTTTGGATAAAAGCGTCAGCTAAATGCAATGTAATGTAATGTAATGTAGGACACTGATTTAAATTATTGTTAAACTGAATTTTTTTTATGCTGTGTATGTCATTTATTATATGTAATGCCTTGTATTTTATCTATGTAATGTCTCGTCTTTTATCTGGACCCATTCAACAATAGGTTGTGTAGCATTCAAACCTTTTCATGGACTTGCAGTGGTCCTCGCTTTTTTATGTCTCTCCAACGAGTTACGCAGGTGCTTCCAGTCTACATATCCATCCCTCGTAAATGCACCTTCAGCTCCTGGGCTGGGGAAATGTCTGCACATTTTACAGAAAAGCGCGTTCCTACTTGCGCTGTATTCCACCCAGGGAAAATCTTTATACCACCTCAACCAGTTTTTACCGGAAATTAGTTCCGTTCAGAGGATAACATACATACAACATTAATTCAACTCGATATTTATTCATTTGAATTTCACTTTGAATGCTTGGATATTCTCAATGGCTGAATAAACAAATGTAGGCTATAATAATAATACAAAATAATATAAATTACACCGAAGCTTTCTCAGGGCTGTGTGTGTATGTGTGTGTGTGCGTGTGTGTGTTTGTTTTGAATAATCTGGTTAACAGTATGGTACCCGCTGCTTGTTGTTGTCATGGTTACAAGCAGAAGCTCCTTGTAGTTGCGACACACGGCCGGCAGGGGGCGGAGCTTCATCAGATGTGAAGGAGGAACCAGTGAAAGCATCAGGCAGCAGGTAGTGAAGGGGCAGATCCGCGGACCAGATATCATTGTGGGGTTGCTTAGCTCACACCCCTCGGTTTTTTTTCTTATTCTCCTCAGATTCTCGCCTTCGTGGCTCTTCCCTAGCGAAACTATGGTGGCTAAAAACAGAAAACAGACCGGAAAGAGTCCAACGACCCAGGCTGACCGGAGCCCGCTTGTTTCGCCTCCTGCCAAAAGTAACGGCAGGCGAGCAGGCAAAGCTTTCAACGGCTCCCATCCTAACGGGCTCATCAGACACAAGCTGGGGCTAACTCCTTCTGCAGTCGGGAAGCTGGGTGTCACTCTTCTGCTCGGTGAGTTAGCCTGCTAGCTTCTCCGTGGACCCCCAAGCTAACGGCTGCTAACGTTATGTGTATAACAGTAGCATTAGCGGGTAAATGAAGTTATCTCCGCTGCTGATTAGTTGGCTAATGTTAGCACATAGAAGCTAGCTCAGGAGCATTAGCCACCTATTGTTGCTATTATTAATTAATATAAAAGTGTTACTATCTGCCTGGTACTTGCATCCGTGTTAACAGGTTTTCATGCAAAAGTTAAAGCTAATGTTTTGTATGGGTTATTTTATGAATTCACCGCAGCAGCCACACATGGTATTATCCAACTCACCCACCCTCAGAGATGCAAGAAGTACTTAGATATAGTAATTAGGTAAAAGTGGAAGTACCAGAGTGTAGGAATACTCTGTTTGTTACAAGTTAAAGTCCTGAATCCAATGTTACTCAAGTAAAAGCACAAAAGTATTAGCATCAAAATATACCTAAAGTGCCAAAAGTGAATGTACTCATTATGCAGATTGGCCCATCCAGAATAATATATGTTTTTATTATAATTATTGATGGATTAAAGTAGTATCAACACTGGTAAAGGTGTACCTAGTTGTATGCACTTTGTATACTGCAGGGTAGCTTTTGAAAGTGACTCAAAGTGTAACTATAGTCCTTTTTAAGTGTTGATTATATTTCACATTATTAATCAATATTTGCAAAGTAATTCAACATATCAAATACATCTGGTGGAGATAAGGTATACTATTTACCTCTGAATTGTAGTGGGGTATAAGTACAAAGTAGCAACAAATGGAGATACTCAAGTAAAGTACACATTTTTGTTAAGCAGTATTTCAAGTTGATTCTCTCTGTCCACAGCTGCTCTGACTGGGTATCTCCACTGGTAAGTTTCACTATTCTCATGTTATTGCTCACACATTACTGCTGTGTTTACTTGTGGATTCAGCTCTTGGCTCACTTATTTCTCCTGCTTTCATCAGGCATCATCTCTCACAGCTGTTTGAGAATGACAGACACTTTTCACACTTGTCAAACCTGGAGAAAGAAATGGCTTTCCGGACAGAAATGGTACATTGATTACTGTTGTTGTGGTTTTATTGTTATGGACGCACTAATAACATTGTTTTGAAGCAGTTGCCACCATGTTCTGTTGCGAGACAGTACAGGTACAAGTGTAATTGCTGGTACACAATGTATGGGGTTGTATGCAAATCGTGTCACAGCAGGACTGCAACTAACAATTACTTGTATTCTCATTTGGTAAAACTATTTTGAGACTTATCAGCTGATTGATTGCAAAACAACTTAAACAACAAGTTAATTCAATGCCATTGGACATCTTTAAATGTCTTGTTTGTCCGACCAACAGCCCTTAACCCGAAGCGATTCATTTTGCAATCATTTAAAACAGAAAAGCAGTACATTCTGATATCTGAGAAGCTGGAACCAGGAAGTGTTTAGCATTCATCCTTGACAAATGACTTGTGCTATTCATTGATCGTAAGAATAGTTGCAGACCAATGTCTTTGTGGCTAGACCACCAATCAATAAATCAACTAATCATTTCTTTATTCGCTGAGATTTGCTGCTAATTTGACACTTGCATAGAACTCGTATCACTCCTATAACAGAAAAAACAGGTAGACCTACTTTATTAATATACTTTTGGAACGATAAGATAATATTCTGCTTTCTATTTGGCAGCAACTGTGATATCATGAGTCCGTTAGATGTCCAGGTGTCTACCTCCTTTGCATCTGTATATCATTCTTATCATTAACATATGATATGATGCCTATGATGAGCCATGACAGGAGGTGCATTTATTTACTAAAAGGAACAATAGACAACAGTGTTTTCAACATTAGAACTGAACCCAATAATCTATTAGACAACTGAAATAAAATGAATTTGCTACAATTCTAAATCACTTATTTACCTTTTCTCACAATGTGATTACAGATGTATTTTTTATTTTACTGTAGGACAAAATAAGTATTTCAGGGACAGCTCTTACAGGTGTCTTTCACTATCTTTAACAACGTCATTTCCCAAAGGATTAGGTGATTTAATAAATAAAGAACTAGGCAGAAAGTAATGGTAAAATAAATTAGATTTTCAGCATCATCCAAAATAACGGTACTGCAATAAAAGCCTTCTTCAACCAAATTGCTCTTGTAAATAAGATGGGATGTCTTTCTTATGTGGGTTATAAATAAAAACTCAGATTGAGCAATGCTGCATTTTGTTGTTGTACAAAACAAGGTGATAACACAGCAATAGACTAAAGGGTATTGGCGTTTCCATGCACAGTGTTTCTATTTGACAACCACATTTTGTTGAGCAAAGATGGACTATGCCCTGCTAATCTGCCAGAGTTGGCGCAGCAATCAGAAAGGTGAAAGCAGTCTTGAATGTGTTAGTTTAACAGGTTTCAGTTAAAGTGAGGTGGCAAAACAAAATGAATATTCAAGACAGAAGTGTAACGGAACAAACTGACTCCAAACCATCTGCACATTCAGAGAAAAGCAGCATTTGCTCCCACAGGTTTATAAACAACATTGAACTTCACCATCCAAACTGACATTCTAACAATATGCAAAATGTTAATTCATTTGCAAAATCGTGCCACTCAAGGGTTAAGTTAGTAAATATGTGTGGTTTAAGGCAGCATATGTTCATCACTATAACTGCAAAAGTGGCTGATATTCAACATGCAGCGTTCGTACCCCTTTCTGAGCGATGACAGTGAAGGTGAAGAGTTTATCATATGCAAACAGGACATTTCTCTCCACTCACCCCTGCTGTGTGCTACTAAATGGGCTGTGAACCGTTTCCATCTGCTGCGCCTGTAGAGCTCGCTCCGGTTCCTTCCATCTGACTTGAATGTTGTGAAGTTATTTTTAGCGTTTGTCTGCTGTCTCCTTCTCTCTGTATCACTCTCACTCTTCAAACATCTCTTTTTCTTTCTTTGTTCCTCTTCTCCATCACTCTGCCTTGACTTTTCTATTTCAAATGTCTTTCTCAGTCGCTCTGTTTGTGTCTAATCATGTGTCTTCATTTGGTTCCAGGGTCTGTATTATTCCTACTATAAGACCATTATAGAAGCTCCCTCTTTCCTGGATGGCCTCCACATGGTGATGAATGATCGGCTGACAGAGCACCCTCTGGTTATTAACACGCTGCAGAGATTCAATCTGTATCCAGAGGTAATGCTCATTCTGGCATGCTGTAGTGTATGATGGGATTACTCATCATAGTGTTCAGAAATGTTTATTTATCAGACTTTAAACTGGCTTATTACATATTATTACTGGTGATATTGGCGCATCGGGCTGCACAATTTGAAAAAAATAGCTATTTCTAACTGATATTGCAATTGCTGTATGATTAACATGGGGAATTAAAAAAAATTAAAACGTACATTTGAAAACAATATTTTTAAATGATCATGGTGCGATTTAGTTTTTTATCTGAAAAGGACTTTTATTAAGTCTCTGGAATACTGACTTTTCTGCAGCACAACAATACTTCCTTAAGATAATGTCACATATTTTGCCAAATATTGCTGTGTCTGTGCATTAATCCACATTGTGATTTGCATAACATTGAAATAATCAGTGTAGTCCTAACGGCAGTAGTTTTCATCAGGGGCAATGCTGACATTTTGCTTCAGCCTTTCCTTTTCTTTTTTTTTAAAGGTGATTTGTGACAACATCATCCTGTAGCCTATATTTACACACTGCCATCAGAATTTAAATTAGGTCTTGTTTTACACCCTTAACAGCTCTTTTTATACCCTGCATTCTCTATGATTAGTTCAATTGTATTTTAGGCTGCATTATTTACTCATTTAAAATAGTTTCTGCTCAGGGAAACAATCTTAACACTGTGTGTCCGTTCCCTCCTGAGATGAGAGGACAAAGGCTTTTCTAACAAGTTGTTTAAACAGGCTTGAAAACAGCCTCTCATCCTCCTCTGCTCCACAGGTGGTCCTGGCCAGCTGGTTCCGGATGTACACGGGTGTCATGGGATACTTTGGGATTCCCACAAAGATGTGCTGGTCCATCAACAGAGGGGAGGGGCTCACTCCCGTGGACAGCTGTGAAGGTACATACCCTCATTTACACACACACACACACACACACACACACACACACACACACACACACACACACACACACACACACACACACACACACACACACACACACACACACACACACACACACACACACACACCACACACACACACACACACACACACACACACACACACACACACACACACACACTTGCAGACAGCAGGTTGAATGATGACTACATCACACAGGCAGATAGCTCTACCAGCATTTAACAGACTCTGTTCTCAACACACTGTCTCACGCTGAATTGACTGGATGACTCATTTTATTTCAGACTTTGATGATTTTTCTGAACTCGTGGGTGCAGTCAAACAGCCTCAAGGGGGAGTTGGCAGATGAAAGAAATGTTACAGAATGAGTTCAATGCTACGCATTCATGATTTATACTTTCCATTGAAAATTAAACCGTTTTTTCTACAGAGTTGCTCAACAGGGGGAACAACGGGAACCACGCCTGAGCTCCTGTAGCTAAAACCTCACTAATTAAACTCTTAAATCTTGTTTGTGTAACACGTACACAATCAGAAGTGTAAAAACAAGAAATTGTGGTCTTGTGTGTTTTGTATGCTGGCTTATTTATTGGCCTTGTGCCAGGACTTAGAGTCTAGTCGCCACTGTGAGTTTCCAGACAACCAGAGGCAACACAAGCAGGTCAAAAGCCCATCTAAGAATAAGGGTATTCAAAAATGTCTGAAAATCATCTCTCCACTCTCACCATCGTCGCTGATTAAGAACTCCTTTATTGTCACTGCACCATGTACATCAACATCTTACATGTATATATGTTTCTGTTGACCGACTGCAAAACATTGATTTGAAGGTGAGAGAAACAAAGCATGGCTCACAAAATCCTCTTCAAGAGAAGGTACGACGTTAAGGATCTACATTTCAGCACAGACAGCAAGGGCACACTATTATCATCATTACAGTAGCCCTATGGGAAATATAATGATTTGAACCTATTACATACAAATAGTTTCCTGATATTTGTTCACAGGAACAAATCTGCTGAAAGTAAACCCGCTGTTTCCAGCTTTCCTTCTTAAGAGCTGTAATCTGTGTGTTTCTGTCAGTCCCATTAGAGAACTCCACCCAGGGACAAACACACAGGCTCTTTTCACCATGTTTACACAAACCTGACGCAAGCTGCCTTGCATAAGAGCTACCAGTCAGAAGAGAGGGAACATATCCTGTAACTGTGAGCACCAGAATGATATTTGCCGTTAGAACGAGCTCCATTTACTGTCAGAGCACTAATGTTAGACACATTCTGTTACCCTGTTAGTCATTACATCCTTGTCACTGTTCTGCGAACCTGCATATTTAGTGAGTGCATTAGCCACTTTATCTCTGAGTAAAACATTCTGTACCAAAAACATTTACCACATTTTTACTCAGTGTCACATGTTCAACACCTTCTGTTCTAATTAGGTCGACACACTCGCTGGTCAACGGGAAGTGTATGGTTAGTTCTACACATCTCAAGTATGCCACATACGGTCCTAATAATTTCAGTTCCACTTTTGTGTCATTTAAATTAGGGCTGCACGATTTGGGGAAATAATCTAATTGCGATTTTTCTGACAGATATTGCGATTCGATTTGCGATATTTGTTTTTAAGCGACCCAACGGAAGTTTATTGTAAAATGAGGCCATATCTCCGGCTAGGAAGGTCGTACCAACGTGCTCCCGTCTCTAGGACCCCCGCAGCCAGAGCTACGAGTGAAAGAACTAAACTTACATGAAACTTTCGTTGGGTTGCTTTAAAGTCGAGCTTCAGTTTAAGGTTCACCCTGTAATAGAAACACGTGATGGAGCAGTACTAACCTGACTCAGAAACCATCTAGGAAAGCTCCATTGGAAGCCATTTGGAAAGGGCAGGCACTTTCAAAAGCACTTGGCAGGTGATTGGATCAATCTGTCTATCACCTTCTATCATGGGCCACTTCTGATTGGTTAACAATGGCTGGTACATGTGGAGCACAGCACTTCTGGTTGGTGTGGATGACTGACTCACAAGAAGAACAAAAAAAATAACAAAAAAAAGTAAAAAGAAATTGCAGGCTTTGCGATTTGATAATCGCATCATTTAAAATCGCGATTTCGATTTAAAATCGATTAATCGTTCAGCCCTAATTTAAATCTTAAATGTGGGATGTTTATAGACTTCCCCTTGCAAGCAGAAGTCTTGATTTATTTTCAATCCAGTGCAATCTAGGCACATTCTCTCCTGCTAGTCCTTTGTTTTTATTACATTTATTTATTCATGTTCGAGGGGTAAGAGAGAGGGGAAGGGATTAAACCAAACAAGGTCCCAAATGTGATCAAAACCATACATTATATATAGAATTTTTTTATATATAAATGTTTAATCATTGGGATAAACCCCTTGAGATGCACCATCTCGTTTTCAAAGGGGTCCCGACAATAACAACAACTTACAGACATACATAAACAAAAAGACAAAATGCAAAACATGACACACAAGACAAGACACATACAGTCTGTTAAGTAACATTTAAGCAATGCACACAATCATTACAATTTGAGACAGTCGAGCAAATCAGTTTCATTAATATCAGTTTAATTAATAACAGTTTCATTAATAACAAGTGCAGACCAGTTGAAAGTGAGAAGATAATGCATGTTTAAATAAACCCAATGATGCAAGAGATCTAATAGCAGCAGGTCAAGTATTCCAGTCTGTTGGGGCTTTGAACATGAACGCTCTTCATTATAGGTGTAGTACTTGACAATATCACATAGAAAGGTCTAAAAAATGACCAGACCCTTGTTTTTGTGTGCCTACATTAACCCACCATTTTAGAAAAAATACATATTCTGTGTTTAATATAGTATGTGGTTAAAGCCTCCACAGCATTTAGTTCTTCCCCTTTTTGTTGCGTAAATCAACATTTGTAATCTTCTGTTTACTACAGTCCTTGTTATTGCTAACTCCCGATGTTGACTGCTAATGTGTTTGCCTTCAGGGCCAAACACACTGCATATTCTCTGCCTGGACTTTGGAGGAAATGATGCTGTGTTTTGTATATGAACACACTGAGGATATGTCAAGTGATTGTGACAGTTCAGATTATATGCTTTGTATTTTACTATGATATATGATGCTGTCACGGATAAACACATTTAACATCTCATCATTTACTCTACATATAGTATTCGTGGTATGATTTGGTGTTTTCAATATAGGAGCTCCCATATTGTAAAACGTGGCTGAAAACAAAAAGCAGGCCACAGAAAGCCTGCAGCAGGAGATTCTGGTGTGTGTGTTGTCCTCAAATTGAGAGCAGTGCACAATGAATACATCCCCCTGGAAAGAGCTCTGCAGACACACTACCTGTTTTAGGAGCTATTTGTGTGCATTGACCTAAATTAGAGTTAGAAAAAGTCTTGTTCATGAAACTTCCAGACATTTAACTGTATCAAAGCAAAAGGGTTTTTCAGATAGAAACTCTATTCAAGTCTTCAGACCATTAACGTGCACCAATACCTATACTGTATAACACACTACAGGAAAGGAAAATCCACAAAAGGCACAATAGGACCTCTGGAAACATCTTCTCTCTCTCTCTCTGCGTGTGTGTGTTAGGGATGGGCGACCCGGCATATTTCTACGTGACCTTCGTGTTCCTGCTGAACGGCGCCATGATGAGCCTGTTCTTCATTTACGGCGCCTACCTCAGGTAACTCCACTGCACAAGGGCTCGTTCCCGTCACGCTCAGATGGGCACCAGACAGGAGAGGATGAACTTAATGACAGAAAACTGTTTTGTGCTCTGGTTCCTGTCAAATACGGATGTAAGACATGAGATGGAGGTTGAGCTTTGGTTTGCTCTCTCCCCCTCTTCCCATTATTTCTCGTCTAGTGGCAGTCGACTGGGCGGCGTTGTGACCACGATGTGTTTTTTCTTCAATCACGGCGAGGTAAGCCCGGAGAGCTAAACGCTCATTGCCTCGTCCTGTAATTCAGTACAATAAGTCTGTGGGTGTAAGGATGTGAAATGTGTAAAGGCACTCAGAAAAACCAAGGAATTAATTTCAGCCCTCAAAGGAGCTTAGAGACTCAAAGCTGAGTCCCTCCTCCTCCACAGTTTCCCCCCAGAGCACAAGGTCTCTATTTTTAAAGCTCTGTATGTCAACATTTCATTCACACACATTCACCGTTGTGTCTCTCAGTTCTTTGGAATAGAGCTCTAACAATAAGTCAATCTATAGATAAGTTAATGAGAATGGATTCATCTTTGAATTATATTATATAATAATATTTTTTGTATGCAAATATAGCAGAAAATGCTGCTTTTCCTTTATCCTTTTCCACATAAAACATCCCTTAATGTCCGGCAGTGGCTCAGTCAGTAGGGGCTTGGACTGGGAGCTGTAGGGTCGCCGGTTCAAGTCCCCGCCCAGACCTAAAATATGGAGTGTAGACTGTGGAGCGGTCCCAGTTTACCTCCTGCCCTGCCGTGGTGCCCTTGAGCAAGGCACCGGACCCCCCTCACTCCCATTGCTCCCCGGGCGCTGTACAATAGCTGCCCACTGCTCCTAGTACTGGACTCCTGGTGCTAGGATGGGTTAAAAGCAGAGAACACATTTCACTGTGTGCTCTGCATGTGTGACCATTAAAGAGGGTTTCATCCCTCCATATTATATTCTAATTTATGTTTTATGTGATATTTAAACGATTCTATGGACTAAAAAAATGAATTAGACGATAAAGAAAATAATAGTTAATTCCAACCCTACTCTTGTACAATGTTCTCCTATTGCCAGTCTTCTCTTTTTGAGTCTGGTGGGCATTTCAGCAGCATTGGTAATGAAGCTGTATGTTCTGAGGTGACAATGTGAGTTTGTAGTGTAAAGTTCGTATACATGTGTATTAAATGGTGATTCTATCAAACTATAGCCACAGGTTCCCTCTTTATAACCTATTCAGACTGTGTGGCTGGCAGGGAACAGAACCATGGGGAAGTCCCGACAACTTAAAAAATGAGATTATATAAAACGTTGTGTGCCAACGCTGCTCGGTACAGTTAGACCGCTTGTATACATTGCAGCAGGAGATATGCAAATGTTGGTTTAAAATACATCTGGCACATTAAAATAGCATGTGGACTTATAAATGTGGCACTAATTATTCACAAGCCACTTGATCTAAATACTGAAGGTCCTGGTTCCAACCATTAAAGTGTATGGGGTTAAGTTATTGGTATATAAATCAAAACCGGGAAAATGTGATGTTGGGTAGTTTCATTAGAGAAGTGTGGTAAATAAACATTCCACTCAGACACCAGAGAGCACAACACCCAGATGCTGTTGTGGATACAAGCATTGTTTTACATGACAAATACAGGTTTACATAACTGTTGATATGTCTAAGCTGCAGAGGAAGACAGTGCTTGTGAGTAATTCTATCCTCTGTGATGTTTTGATTTGCGTTTTATTGTGCATGTCTTGTGTGTGTCAGAGCACTCGTGTGATGTGGACTCCGCCCCTGAGGGAGAGCTTCGCCTACCCTTTCTTAGTCCTGCAGATGCTCCTTCTCACCTACATCCTACGGTAAACTCTCCACCCTTTCTCTCTTAAAATCTCAATATTTAGCAATAGTTAGCAAACTCTCCATATTATAACATAAGAACATCAGAGTAAAGCCATATTCTTTCTGACATTTTCATACAAAAATCCCACCTTGAGTTGAGTTTTACCTCTGTGTGTAACTAAGTGGCTCTCACAAGGTACACATTGCCAGTAGTGTCATTACACAGGTGATCAGCACATGAAACATGCAGCTCTCTAACCTTTGATAGAACACGGTTGTATATAGTATAGAGGAATATTATGGTATTCACTCCCTGCATGGAATAAACCATTTCTATTGCAATTTAAACTACTTGACTAGACTCACTTTGCCAACAGGTGCTCTTTTCTATCTATTTTTTTCACTGTGAATATTACCCATTCAATGTAGGCAATATTCTTAGCTGATTGCCGTCGCGCCGCCTCATTAAACTACAGTTTGCATCCGGACACATTCTTTTAAGTCAGTGGTCTGCAGTTTTGTACCTTCTTGCATCAACTCATCTTTCTTAGAACCTCATCCATTCACAAATGTTTCTGAATACCAGAAGAAGAGGGAGTCAAGTAGAGCCAAGCTGTGCCATGTGTACAGCTTGTGTGAAATCTTTGTCTGGAGAACATCGGGTCCTGTCAGGTCACTCCTGTAGCCCGGGGCTATTGGAGCACTGTGATGACATCACGTCTGTCTCCACACATCCCGATCTTCTGCCAGTCTCATGTCCTCCAGTCATTCTCCCCCTTCTTCAGTCAACTGCGCGGTGCGTGATGGTATTTGCTAGCGACTCGCTGGTTCTTGTTAAATGTCCAAATCAGCGGTTCAAAAAACCCTGTAAGTGCCTGTATCTCCTGCTTCAGTGAGTTGTTTGTACGATGCATTTTCCATGTCGTTTTCAAACATCGATAACCTGGGAAAGCATTTGTTTTTGTTTTCATTTCAACACTCTGTTAACTATGTGAAACAACAGTAGAAAAACCTGATGAAACTGCTGTTCCCTAGCCACACCAAAGATAGACAGGCTACAAATTGTGTTGTAATTAGTGGGGTGAAGCAAGGCTTGTTCCGTTTTCTGCTCAACGGTGAAGCACTGAAGCAGCAGCGTTGTGAGCGACTGTACTTGTCACACAGACTAGTTATCTTCTCATTGCACATCAACTGGCAGACACCACCTTGTGTTATATCAGTGCAGCGAGTAAACTGTGACTAAAAGGAGAATGAACACCGTGTCATATTTCTGAGGCCGACTCGGAACATAACCACAGCTTTGTAGTGCACTCAGAGTGAAATTGAATGTGTGTGCTTGTGTATATGTGTGTTTTCTAAGCCGTCTTAATGCATCTTCATTTATCTCCTCTACACCCACACAGTTTTCTTCCTCTCTCCTCAGGACACGGAGCCCGAGCAGGACAGCCCTGGTCGCCCTGGGCATATCCAATCTGTGCTTTATGCTGCCTTGGCAGTTTGCCCAGTTTGTGCTGCTCACTCAGGTAAACACAGAGCGAGAGAGACATTGAGAGGGAGTGTGGGAAGAAAGAAGAAGGGGCAGAGAGATTAGGGAGAAAATAGAGACTTGGAGAGAACAGAGGACTCTGGCGAGGACAATGCAGAGATTGCAGGAGCTGGCCAGGATTGGAAAGAAACAAAGTGGCAAAAAAGACTGAGAAAAGGGATGGAGATGAAAACAGAATACATTTAGAAGGAAAACGTTGGTATTGTTTTCAACTTGGACCCTATTTTCCCTTGTCTTTGTGTCTAAATTATTATTTTATATGTTTTTAGGTGGCTTCTCTGTTTGCTTCTTACATCCTTGGTTACCTCGGCGCTGCCAAGATGCAATCCATCCTCGTCACTCATATGGTACAGTACGCTACCTTTCCACAATCTGAAATGAATCCATCCGTCAGTGTGAAGAGTGTTTCTTTTTCCTAACTTTTTTGTCAGTGAAGCATCATGCAATGGCAGCTCTGTATTCGGTTTGATTTAACAGTGAAAAGATTTCAATGCACCTGAGCTTCTGAGACAAAACTATTTAAAGGGGGCCTATGATGTTCATTTTCAGGTTCATATTTGTATCTAGTGTCTCTACTGGGACATGTCTCCATGCTAAAAGCTCTTTATTTCTCTCATACTGCCTGTGCTGCAGCACCTCTTTTCACCCTCTGTCTGAAACCAGAGCCCAGTCTGCTCTGATTGGTTAGCTGGCCGGCTCTGTTGTGTCGGTCAACCGCTTATGTCCCGCCCCTTAGCCTCACGTACAATGTGTTGGAGTGCTAGCAAATAGAAGGGCGAGTGTTACACATCGATGTCACTATGTTCGGGAAGTAAACAAAGGAGATCAATGGAAGCGTTTCAGGCAGGGGGGGAGAGAAGCTTCCTCTGGAACACAGGGATTTTACCCTTTGCAGACCATTTACATGCACACACACTTATATAACACTACAGGAAAGGACAGCCCCACAAAGCATATTACGACCTATTTAAAATGCAGAATGTAAAGGACAATAAACTCATTTTAGGAATTAAAAATAAACTAAGTTAAGGTTTCAGGAGTTTCTCTGTTGCTCCGTTGTTTTTTGAATCACACATGTGCATCAGCTTTCTCTGTCTGAGGATTATGTGTTGTGCCCAGAATAAGTAAAAGTATTTCCAGCTGCTGTCCCCTGAGCGGTAATGTGCTCCGTCTCGGTTCTCCTTATCTGACTCAGCTCCTCGGCCGGAAGAATTTCATGAGCCGCGAGGACAACACCAGCCGAGACGGGGGTGACTTTCTTTAGCATCCACGATGCCAGGGCTGCCTTTTAGCATTAACCCTATGTGGGCAACTTGTTAAGCCCTGACAAGGACAAAAGTATATGTGTGTAAAGATGTTTGTGTTCTGGTATGTGTGTGTTATTCTGGCCGTACGTCCCTCTCCTCCACATTCCTCCCCCCCTAATCCCCTCAGCATGCCAGGCCCTGTGTGCTCCAAAGATAAGGAGAAGGCTCTTTGTGGTTAGATGCTGGAGATTTGTGTCAGAGGAAAGCATATGCCTCTGCATAATTTAGAGAGCTTGGCAACGATGAATTTGCCTGTGAGTGTGTGTTTGTCTGTGTGTGTGTGTGTGTGTGAGAGAAAAAAACCCCATCATTTGTGTCCTACGTCCTACAGCGCTGTTTAAAGCCTGAGCAGTGACACTTGTTACAGGGAAGACAAACGTGCAGGACTGCTATCTATACAAAAAAAACAACTATATCATCAACTGTCCGGTCAGTACTTAAGGTAATGATAAGACGTTTATTTTTGCAAGTGCTTTTACAGGTGCGCAGAAGTGTAAAACTAAAGTCAAATAAAAATCGGGCTAATAAAACTACATTTAACACAAGGACACAACGTTAATCACACATTTAAAGCAAGTCTTAACAGGGGATTTTTTGGTCAGTGTTTTGAAGGTCAGTGCAGTCTCTGTTCATTTTCATTTCAAACCTTTATTTATACAGATAAATCCCATTGAGATCATTGATCTCTTTTTCAAGGGAGACCTGCTCAAGTAGTTCCACATGAAACATAAAAACATAAATAGAACAACAAAAGGACAGCATCATTTACATAATTATCCACATAAACAGGTACCAATAGCTTCCGATTGAGTAGCATCCAACCGAGCTTTAAAAACATTTAGTGGCACCAGATTGTTCAGTTTCCATTTAATTTGCAGACTATTCCAAGACAGAGGAGCTGCGCATCTAAAAGCTGTCTTCCCTAAGACAGTCCTAGCAGTTGGCACATTTAATAAAACCACAGCATTCGATCTCAGGCAGTAGCCACTTACAATTCACCGTGAGATCAGGGAGCAGATATAAGATGGAAGTTTTCCTAACATGGCTTTGTATATAAAAATGTACCAGTGACTGAGCCTCCGTACAGTTAGTGAAAGCAAACCAGCCCTTGCATACAGGGTACAGTGATGCGTTAATGCTTTACAGTTTGTCACAAATCTCAGTGCACTGTGATACGCAGCATCTAACTTGACCAGGCAATTGGCAGGTGCATTCACAGGTAAAAAGGTCACAGTGACTAGCCTTTTCCTGGCCTCAAGCAAGAAACAGGACTTGTTCCTGTAGAAGAAACCTAGCCTAATCCTCAGCTTTTTAAGCAGGTTATTGACGTGAAGTTTAAAAGTGAGACAATCATCAAGCCAGATACCAAGGTATTTGTAATTGGCAACAACTTCAAGTTTTATTCCTTGCGTAGTTACAATATCTAAAACAGGCTCTGGTGTCTTTTTAGCTTTAGAAAAGAGCATTACCTTGGTTTTCTCAACATTTAAAAGAAGCTTTAGTTCAGAGAGCTGAGTCTGAATAATGTTAAAAACAGCCTGTAATTTAATCATCCGCATAAAAATGTAAAGTAGCTTCATCCACATTTTCACCTAAACTGTTGATGTAGATGGAGAATAAAAGTGGACCTAAAACAGAACCTTGGGGAACACCATTTGCAATGTTCAACCACTCAGAAGACAGCCCATCAAAATGAACACATTGGGACCTTTCAGAGAGGTAGTTCACAAACCACCCTACTGCATGGCTGGACATGCCTATACTGGCTAGCCTCTGCTTTAAAATGTGATGATCGACGGTGTCAAACGCTTTTGAAAGGTCAATAAATAGAGCTGCACAACTCTGCTTATTATCTAAAATACTCGCCACATCATTCACCACTTTCATTGTGGCAGTGATGGTGCTATGTTGCTTTCTGAAGCCTGACTGATGTTTAGACAGGATGTCATTTGTACATAAAAACACCTTTACCTGTTCACTCGATAGGCTTTCAAGAACCTTGGCCAGAACTGACAATTTGGAGATGGGTCTATAGTTATTTAATAAGGTGGCCTCCCCTCCTTTTAGCAAAGGCAGGACATACGCTGACTTCCACAATTTTGGAATTGTGTTTGAGCTGAGGGAGAGGTTAAAAAGAGAAATGAGAGGTGGAGCAATAAAATCTGCAGCTATCTTTAAATAGAAAGGTTCTACGTTGTCCGGGCCGGCCGGTTTCTTAGGATCTAACTTGGTTAAAGCTTCACGAACAACATCAACAGTAAAAGGGGTAAAACTAAAAGGGTTTTCCAACACACGTTTTTCAGAGTCACATACTGTAGTGTTCACAGAAGCAGAGTTAGTGACAGAATGAAACAGAGAGCCACAGGACACAAAATGCTCATTAAAGCAATTTAGCATAGTGGCCCTGTCCGATATAGAGCCAGATGCTGTGGTAATGCACGGAGGTAGCTCATTACGGATATCGCCGGTGGATAACGACTTAATGGCTTTCCAAAAATGTTCAGGATTATTCAGATTCTTTGTGGTTACTGACAGATAGTACTTTGATTTAGCACTTTTGATTTGCGATGTGAAGCTATTTCTTGCCTAAAACGCAGCCATTCTACCTCTGAGCCTGATTTCCTAGCCTTTGCCCAGGCCATGTTTCTCTCATGAAGGAGACTGGACAGATTAGCAGAAAACCAAGGATTGTCTCGTCTCTTTACTCTAAATTTACGCAGGGGTGCATGTCTATCAATGATCTCCATAAAACCAAGATAAAAATAAGACCATGCGGTTTCCACATCAGCACACAGATCGATTTTACCCCAATCAAAATCAAACAGATCATGCACAAAACCCTGCTCCACAAAATGTTTTTTGTCTCTCTTAATGATAATGCGAGGTTTAACCTTTTGGACCTTAGTGTCCCTAATTGTGGCTACAACACAGTGATCACTCAGATCATTTGCAAATACTTCCACAGATGAATATTTATGGGGAACATTAGTTAAAATTAGATCAATTAGGGAGGATTTATTAGGGGACTTAATGTTAGGGCGAGTAGGACTGGCCACAATCTGAGTAACATTTAAAGAGATACAAAGGTTTTTAAAATCCTCTGACACTGCAGTTAACCAGTCCCAGTTAAAATCTCCAAGTAGCACTAATTCCTTGTAGTCTAGTTGTGATAAAAGATTTGCTAGTGAAGACAAGGAGTCTTTGACAGCTGAGGGGGGTCTGTAACAACTCACTACCATGACTTGTTGACCCTTTGCCACTTCTATATTTATGGCTACAAATTCAAATTGCTTACTGATCGATTTGGAAACTAATGTGGTTACACTGAACTTGTTCTTAACATAAATGGCAACACCACCACCTTTATTAGGCCGGTCGGTACGATACACATTAAAACCATTTAAGGCAATGTCAAAGGCCAAAATAGATTTGTTTAGCCATGTTTCTGATAAAACAATGACGTCAGCGTCAGTTGAACTCGCCCAGATATGGACAAAATCTAGTTTACCTAACAGACTGCGCACATTCAAGTGGATGAAACCCAACCCAGACCTAGCTTTAAAATCAGCAGGAGTAGCGATCTGACTACTACTACTGGGCGGACCAGGGTTAGGTTGTACATTTCCTGACAGTAATAACAACAAAAAAACCAAGCATCTTTTCCTCCTAAACGACACAAATACATTATCATCTAATTTAGAAACACCGGAAAAGTCTGCGAGAGTGTGATTAGAGCTTAAGAAGCAGTCCTGAAGAACCATCATCGCAGGAAAATAAAAAAGACAAACATATTTTGTCGAGCAGATTGACTGTGACAAGGCAACCGGTAATTGTTTGAGCAACACATCCGAACCTTTGCAGGGGATGCCCACTGCGGGTGGCAGAACAGACCTGAATCCAGTAGACTCCTCAGAATGACTAGAGATCTTCTCATAGTCCAAAACAGTTAACAGGCACAGCAGAATCCCGATATGGGCCATTTTCCCAGACCAGCACACAGTATCCGCGATGTTCCTGGAGCAAAATCAGCACAGCAGCAAAGGACAGGCGAAAACAGCAGCGTGGAAGCGCTCCGGTCCCTCCGTGGTATCCCCGGGGTGAAAGCAGGCCTCTGCAACAGCAGAACCAGGACAGGTGGAAAGCAGGCCCCAGCGGTGGTAAAATCCTCCTCCGCACAGCAGCACACGCCCGGTGGAAGCAGGCCAAGCCCGAAGCGTGGATCCACTCCGTCTCTCCGCAACGAGTCCGGGGTAAAAACCTCTTCAGTACAGCCGTATTCTACAGGTGGGAGCAGGCCTCCGTAGATCGCAGATCGCAGGCAGCAACAGGTGGAGCCGCTCCGTCTCTTCGCGACGAGCAGGCCTCCGTAAATCGCAGATCGCATGCAGCAACAGGTGGAGCCGCTCCGTCTCTTCACGACGTCTCCGGGGGAAAAACACCTCAGTACAGCCGTACTCGACAGGTGGGAATAGGCCTCGGCAGATCGCAGACAACTAAAACTACTACTTGTATAAGCAGGGATGGCTAAAAGTTTGTAAGCAGGAGAGCTGAGCTGTTGTGGGACTGAGTTCCAGAGAGAGGGGGCAGCGATGGAGAAGGCTCTGCCCCCCAGAAAGCCTGGTTGTTGAGTCCTTTGGGATTTTTAAAATGTATTCGTTGAAGGACGGGGGGAAAGTGGTCTCGGTGATATGGTCTTCTGGATATAAAAGTGACTTGTCAACCATCTGGATAAAGTGCAGTGAAGTGCATAAAGGAACTGAATTGCATTTCCCAATAAACCTGTTATTTCAGTTTTTATAAACAAGTTGAGCTTCTCTACAATCTTTCCACACTCCGGTTTATAAGTGCCTCTTATTGTGAATGATTGCCCTTCTGTCTACATAATGCAATGAATGGTGCATTATCTCACTCGTCACTGTGGGATTAAGCATCAAGTGTTTATTAAGTAGGATTATATTTTGCTTGTAGCTGTGTATGCACAGTATACAATCTATTCCAGAACTCCTTGCTGCCAAAGAGAGGCAAATATATGTTATTAATAATTTGCTTTGCAGCTCTACGTCTCACTCATCGCCCAGCCTACATGTTTCACATTATTTCCAATCCTTTTCATTACATCTAAATGTATTAAAACCTCCTCTCCTTCCTGTTCTCGTGCTGCAGATCACCCTCGCTGTCTGCTTTGTCCTAATGTTCGGAAACTCCATGCTGCTCACGTCCTTCTATGCCTCCTCGCTCGTCTCCATCTGGGTGAGTAGAAACTCTAGAGAACAATATATCCTGCATCATCGAATGTTTAATGCAGTGGGTCACTCAAGATTAGTTCAATTTGATCAACGCATCCAGCTGGTTATACTGCACATTAGGTTGAGTAAACAGCATTGCAGAGGAACATTAAAATGCAAAACCACTGATAATAATGTGTGTTGGTGACTTGGACTTCTTTTATTATGTTTTGGTCATTTATTTCCAGGCAATCATCGCATTGAGGGATCGATTTGCTCAACTCTTCAAACCTGGCATCGTCATGTGGGTATGTTGAAATTATTTATTTTCATTATGCCTCTTTGTTATGGAAGAAATACCCAGATGGAGCTATAAAGCAGTCTCTTTCATTTTTAAATAAAGATGCTATTGATTATGCAGCCTTCATTTGGATCAGTTAGTTTGTTTCTCATTTAAATGAACAATAAAGCTAAAAAATGTTAAATGTTTGAACAGTCCACAGCCCTCTTTGGTCGTTCCCAAGTCTACAGCACTTTACGGCTTTAATTACAGATGGCTGTCCTGAGTTGTGTGTGTGTGTGTGTGTGTACACGTCAGGCTGTCAGTGTGCGTCTCCTCTCCCTCCTCAGGTCATGCAGGGCTTCGCTTGGGTCGGCTCCACAGTTCTGCTCAAATTCCTGCTGTCCACGGTCCTCTGCGCCTCAGATGATGTAAGCTGCAGCAACTTTACCTTAAAAAAAGTCATGTGGCTGGAAAAAATGCTAATATTTGAATATGGTTGACAGTAGAATATATATCTGATCATTTTATAACTTAATTAAAACAATAGTAATGACTTTGAATGGTGTTATTGCTTAGAAAATCTCTGATATTCACAGAGATTAAAGATTTATCCATTTTTCTAGTATCTTACACAAATATTTCACTCTTATACATTTTTGTTATTATTCTCAGATAATGTTCAAGTTTTTTTTCTCAGACATCTACCTTTTTAATCCGTCAAATTCACAGATTTTACTCCAAATATATCCCTCTTCTCTTTCTCTGTTTTGCCTCAAATTGCTCTATCAGTTCACGTACCGTTAAATCAGGGGTGGGGAACCTCTGGCCCCCGGGCCGTATACGGCCCGCGAGACCATTTGGTGTGGCCCTCGACGTAATTTATAAACACACGCAAAAAAGAAAAAAATTAAAGAAATCTAAACAGCAAAATAATTAAACAAGTGAGTGCCTGTTTTTCCTGGCCAAGGTCAGGGTCCTTGAACACAACACAAGCCTAACGTGTCATCACGTGGTATATGTCTCGTCTGACAGGGGTGTAGTTCTGACGGAGAGCACCAGAACGCCGCGTGGCTGTGCCTTTAGTTGAAAGCCCAGTGGCGATCTGTTCATCTGTCATACTGATCATACAGTCAATAACTTTGTTGTTATTAGCATCTGGTTAGCTAGCTATGCTAACGAATATAAGAAGCTTTTTCTACAACCAGTGAGGTAAAGGCACATCTTTATATGATCATTATAGTTATAAAACAAATAAGAGAATAAAGTAAACGGGTATAAAATACTATATGACAGTAAACAAAAGTTGTTATTAATAAACAAGAATAGGCCTACAGTTTGAAAGGAGAGTGATTTGTAAAATACCCATAAAGAAAAAGAAAATCTGCTTACAGTTCTGTTTCATCTGGGTGTTGAGAGATGTATCCATAGATCTACTAATGTTGCTCTCAAAGTGCACCAGATTGATGCTTTTAACTTCAACATTTAAAAAAACAAATCTTCCCGGGGGAGCATGCCCCCGGACCCCCCTAGAGGAGGTTAGGTCCCCCCCCCACTTAAATCATGTTCACAGGAGTCTAAATACATTTGCACACATCTTGTGTCCATATCTTTCTGTTTGGGTGGTCATGCCACAACCGAGCACGTGCATGTGTGAGTCATGGCAAGTTATCTGGATTAAGAGGTTGCTTTTTCTTTGCACATCATGAAAGAAAGGTGAAATGAGTGGGCTGTGATTTTAGTATTTTTAAGCAGAGGTCAATAATTTGTACGGCCCTCGCAGGATGTTGAAAACATTGAAATGGCCCTTGAGAGGAAAAAGGTTCCCCACCCCTGCGTTAAATGCTTAATAAAGGCAAATCTGAAACAGGTACCGTCAAAAAATTAGGATCATATAGGGTAGTCAACCCACAATTGAAAACCCAGCTGCAGAGGTTTGGATTGGCTTTCTGAGAGCTAACAGCTTAATATAAAGTGTCTTATAGTTTCATGCTGACATCAGAAATGTTGGAATTAAATCAACAACAATTTCAAATGCATTCATACATTTAAAATCATGAAAGAAAGTTTTTTGTTAATGAAAAAATACAAAAACATGTCTGCAATATGTCTCTTTTTTGTGTCTCTTCCAGGCACACATCAGTGGACTGATAAAGTCTAAGTTCACGAGCTACAAAGACTTCCACACTCTGATGTACACGTGTGCTGCAGAGTTTGACTTCCTGGAGTTAGAGGTCAAGTTTGTTTTTACCAAAAACTGGCCCTCAACAAGATGAACAAATAATCCTCCTTGTGACTTTGTTTGCTAAAGTGTTCTCTGAGATAAATCTGAGGTGGATTGGTGTGAAAAACATGTATTTTTATCAGAATAAACCTGCTGTTTTATATCAAAGAGTCTGATATATTCCAGCAGGCATCAGAGCACAGCGAACGCAAGTTACGACTGTAACTACGGTTCTATGAATCCCGGATGACCGCCAGAGGCGTTGCTTTAAGCACTGGATATGTCCATCGCGCGCATGCGCAGGTTGAGTACCAATACCAATAAAGTCACCTGTGACCCCACGTGACACCGGGCTATATCTGCCGGTGTCGTCAGAGTATCTGTTCACAGAATCTTCTCGTGAGAACACAAGGATTCTGAGTGACAGGATACTCTGGCGGTCATCTGGGATTCATAGAACCGTAGTTACAGTCGTAACTTACATTCTATTTCATCCCTACTGACTGCCAGAGGCGGTGCTCTAAGCACTGGATGACTTATACCAACAATGTCATGAAGAATCCAAGCACTTATTCACTAACTGGAAGCAGCGGAGCTCGGCAATAGGACCACGCCCAAAGGATGGGGAGTGGTGACATTAACTCGATAAAACCCGGAGAATGTGCCACAAGACTCCCACGACGCTGCGGCGCAGATGGGATCCAGGGGGACCCCTCTCAGGGCAGCCCAAGATGTTGAGATGCTCCTTGTAGAGTGGCATCAGACGCCTGATGGCAGGGGGCGGCCACTGGCCCCATAGGCATGTGAGATGGTATTGACAACCCAGTGGGACAGCCGCTGTTAAGAGAGAGCACAACCTTAGACAAAAGGCTCTGTGACACCCGGAGTGCGGACCTGGTGCCCCCCTGATGGTTGATCTGGGCAACAGTGGACATGTTGTCAGAACGAACAAGGACATGCTTGTCCCCCAGTTGGGGTAAAAAGAGCGTGAGTGCAAGCTGCACAGCCCGAAGCTCTAGCACGTTGACGTGGCGTGCACCTTCCTGGGCAGACCACTGACCCTGAACAGTCCTGCCCTGCCACACTGCACCCCACCCTGAGAGACATGCATCCGTAGTGACAGTCTCCCGGCGGGATGGGATGGCGCCCATGGGCATGCCCATCAAAAGATAGGCCCTGTCCCTCCTTCGGGACAGAGAGTGGAGACACCGCTGAGACATCCTGACTCTTCTGTGCCTGTGCCATTTGGCGTCCAAGTGGAGGCTGTTCAGCCACATTCGTATTCAGTGTTCATTTTGGCAGCTTTTTTTTAATTTAGTCTTTAGACGAAAATGGTTATTAGTTTTAATCACATTTTAGTCCTTTTTATCCTTCATAGTTTTAGTCGACGAAAACTCAAAACGTTTTAGTGGAGGTCCGGGCATCGAAGCCAGAGTGGGAGAGGGCCCTGGTGTCTCTCCAGCATGCATGGAGCTCCCTCAGATACTCCTCTGAAGGAGGAACAGTGAGAGTGACAGGAGCATGGCGAGTCGGCCTGCGGAACCTGAAGCTGCAAGCGTGCCAGGGCTGCACGAATAATGGCCACCATGGATGCGTCTTCCATGCCCTGCAGAGAACTCTGAGCAGAGCAGTGGGAAGCCTCCTCGAAAGTGAGCGAGGCCTCGTCCTCCACTTCGTCATTGAAGAGGCTATCCGAAGCCGCTAGCGACATGGCATCCTCAAGCCCAAGGCAAGAGGGGCAGCGGTCATGGCCGTCTTCGGGCTCAAGAGAAGCCATACAGGCGCTACATGAATGGGCCATTATGTAGGTAGCCAGATGCAACGTAACCGGGAGCAGGAGCGAGAGCACAGCCTTCACCAGTTACCTGCTGAATGGAAAGAGTAGTATCGAAACTGCTACTAATCACAGAACACAAAGAGGGATGCAAACATAAATGTCCTACACCCACGAGCGAGAGCACTGCCTTCACCAGCTGAGTTAAATAATGAAGTTTAACAGAACACGCAAGATGTTAGCCAGGTGGCTGCTCCTAACAATCAAAGCAATACGTTACCGGGAGTGGGAGCGAGCGTGCTGCCTTCACCAGCAAGTCCAAGTCAAATAACACAAATGCTAAGACCAGATAATTGGCTTCAAAAGAAAAAAAACAGCACGGATAAAATCCCAGTGCTTATAACAAGTGTCAGCCAAAGCGGATGCACACTAGCAATACAATAAAATAACAACAACATAGTTAGGCTGAGCCACGCTACTGCCAACTAAATTAAACGACAAAACTCAAAATGCTAATGATAGCTCGGGCACAACGCTGCCACAATCAGATGCACAGAAGTACAAAAGAGCACAATAAGGGCAACTTATGAGAGCGGGAACGCTGCCGTCACCAGAAAGTCTAAGCCAAATAACAAACAAGACAGCAAACAGGACAACTTATGCTGGGAGCGGGGGCACTGCCATCACCAACCTGTCCGTCAAAGTTTTGCGCAGCCGGCCACAACTGCCTCTGGAGGACGAGCAAGCAACTCGCGGCTCCGACTGGATCAGTCGCGAAGCTGCACACAGCCAGCTGTGTGCAGAGAATTCCTAGCTCAAGCCGAACGCTGTAGGCTACAACATGTAGCCACGGCAGAGTCCTGCACGGGTCTGATTTTCAAGACCCGCTCCCGCGACGTTCAATACCGAACCCGCCCCGCTACCCGCACATATTGCCAATTAGTTCCACAACCCGACCCGTCGGCACAAGATCCACAACCCGTCCCGAACCCGCATATATATGATCAGTGAAAACGTGCAATTATTAACACACGCAGTTGCATATTTGTCTCAAAAAGCCTGGGATGTTGGTTATTTTCTCCATCTAGGATGACACCAAAAGCCTCCCAGACGTTGGATTTCGCTCTTGAGGAAGTGTTGTATTCTCCGCTGGAGAGCTTCACCTCAGCAGCAGATTGATGCGGTGCAGAGGTTATGATTATGCGCGGTCCCGCGGGGGAGAGGTCTGAGGATTTAAACATTAAACTAAATTATTATTATTTTAATATATTTATTATGCAACACCCGCTACCCGACCCGCATCATCTTTGCTTTACCCAGAACCAAACCCGGAAAAAAGCGTTTGAAAAAATACCACCCGCGAATCACTTTTTCCGCAGGTACCCGACCCGATGCAGGACTCTGAGCCACGGTACTCGCGCAGCGAGAAGATGAAAAGGAACAGATCCTCTGACGACACAGGCAGATATAGCCCGGTGTCACGTGGGGTCACAGGTGACTTTGTTGGTATTGGTACTCGACCTGCGCATGCACGCGATGGACATATCCAGTGCTTAAAGCACCGCCTCTGATGGTCAGTAGGGATGAAATAGAACCAGATCTGTGCTTTGAATTTAAAAGGAAATAGAAACCTGACAGCTCATTTTGATTTAAACTCTTTTACAAACTGGACCCTGCTCATGTTGTACAGTCAAGATTTTGAGATGTCTTAACTTAGGGTGTCTCTCTGTCCCTTAGACCCCTTTAAAATACCTTAAAACGTTGCTGCTGCCCATCAACATGCTGGTGGTCGCTGTCATCGCCTGGAGGGTAAGTGTTCCTGTAGCTTCTGGACTGGAATCAGATAAACAAGCTGCAAAACTAATATGACCCACAAAAGTAGCATCATTTAGTCCTTGTTAAAGGGGGCCTATTGTGCTAATTCTCAGGTTCATATTTGTATTTAGTGCCTCTACTGTGACATGTCTCCATGCTTTAATGTTCAAAAAGCTCTTTATTGTACTCATACTGCCTGTGCTGCAGCACCTCTTTTTACCCTCTGTCTGAAACCAGAGCCCAGTCTGCTCTGATTGGAGTTTTATTTGTGCACTTTCCATTCCCAGGGTGCAGTTTAAGGCCTTTTTTGCACACATGCAGAATACAGTATGTATATTGTATATGAGATTTCATGGTACACAAGGAGGTAAAAAAAAGTCTGACAGTGAAAATAAAATCATAATAACAGATAAAAACTATAAAATACATTTAAAAAAACAATATTTAAAGAATAACTACAATCAAATATGTAAAAACGTTGACATAAATACAACTATAAAAAGAAAACATTAATAACTGCAATACAATCTAATAAACTATGAAATTAAAAAATAAAACAATATACATTTTTTTTGAATGAAATTCAAGCTAATTTAAAATATTATAATTACACACATGTTTTATTTTGGGTCACAATCTGGGGGAAATGCAGTTTGTATTTAGAGAAATGTTACAGATGTGTCACCTTTCAGAACAATTCAGCAGGCAGTCCCACTTCAGGTGAGACGCCGGGAGTCGCTCCGCTCACTGCTAACATTTATTCTTTCCCTGAGGAGGCTTTTGCATTTCAGTAGATTGCAGTGGTGTCATTTGCCCTGCATGGGAGTCATAGCTCAGATGTACATGTGTATATATTTAAGCTTCCAGAAAGGAGGAGATTTATGTCTGATTCCTATAACATGATTTTTATTTTGTTGAGGGAAACTCAAAAGGGATATTTAAAGAAGTGCTCTTCATGTAGTCTAATCTCATTACGCCTTGCCCCCGCTAAGCCAAGAATACATAAATCAATTTGACAAAGCATGGGATCCAGTACATGAGCAAGCTGTGAGGAAGATCTCGGCTCCTACTGTGCACTTTTCTTTGGAAACATGACATTATTCTAACCATTAGTCCTTTGCAGACTTTCCGGGATATTGTCCGGTTCCTGAGGGACGGAGGGAAGTCTGTGAAGCCGGAGGAGGCTGACGAGGCTGCAGGGTGAGCGTCTGGAGGCCTGGTTGCTCATTCAACTTTCATTTACTAGCAGGGAAATCCAAATAAGTGTGTAACAATAAGTCATCAAAGCTTACAACGAGCAATATCTTAACATATCCTTTTTTACGAATTAGGGATTTGCAATTTTTAAGACAACCGTGTATAAGGACTGTAGGTTTATCAAAAATTGCACTGCCAGTGGAGGAGTGTACAATTCTGTGTGAATGTGGTGATAGTAAGATAAAATAACTTGAATGTCCTTTGACATTCAAACTCTTAAATCTCTGAGAAAAGAACTGGAAAATTAGTTTTTTATTGGGTACATTTTAGAAAACTTTTTTTTCTTGTCAATTCACAACCTTTTATTTATTGAATTGATTACAGACTTTTCCTATTTTTTTTAATATTACCTCATAAGGCTACATTGTTTTTACATGTACCTACAATAACCTAATATGATTTCATTCATTTTATCTCGAGTCTGGATTTAAGTTTATTGTCTCTTTGTGTTCTGTATTGCAGGTCTGAAATAGCCGCAAAAGGAGAGGTGAGAAGAAACACTTTTCACAGCCTTTATGTTATTGTTAAAAATATGCACACAGCTTAACGTAATCACACCTTCATTTTCCTAAATCCGTTTTATTCGATCAACTTCCTCCAGTGCTGTCTCCAGTGCTCAGTTACTCTGTCCCTTATGGCGCATTTCCACTGCAGGGCCTCACACGGCTTAGTACGGTATAATTAGGCCTTGGTAGGACTGGCTCACTTTATGCTGCGTTTCCATTGCAGTTTAGGAACTGGGGCAGTAACTACAGTAACGCAGTGTAGGCGGAGCCGTGACGTCTTCTTCAATGAGAACCACAAAACCAACATCAGCCGTTAGCTGTTAGCACTCAGAGCTCACAGCTCCTCATATCTGTTCAGAAACTAGACAAAAGTTAAACAAGTTCAAACCACAGACTGCCTGTGTCATGGCGGATACAGTCGCTGGTTTATTTATGTCTGTAGGCCGTTGTTGTGAGTGTGGACGGTCGGAGCATATACTGCGTTAGCTTAGCCGATCTCCATTCAGAAAACACGCATTTTAAAAGGTGTTTCGCCTGCCGTCTGTCTGCAGACTTGTTAAAGCATTAATTCATGGTTTTTACTAACCGGTATCAGTATGTTGTTACTTCGGCATCATTTTGAAACGTGTATTACAATTAAATCACTGTAAAATATGTTAATTTTGTTGTAGTTGTAACCCCCTTGCCAGCGATTTAGCATATTCAGCCCTGTTGTTGGCCCGGAAAGAACCTGGATTTTGGAGAGCCAGAAAAACTGTGAAAAAGTACCCGTTAGCCGGAACTACCCCGAGTGGAAACGCAACAAAAAACGGGCCGGGTTTGGCACGGCGCGCTTAAACCATGCTACGCGCTGCAGTGGAAATGCGCCATTAGTGAATTCCATCCCTTTTCTCATTAGTAAGACATGAAAGGCAGCTTCCCCTTCTGTTATAAAACGGTGGGTTACCTATTGTAACCCTAGTTCTATAAGCACAGGTGGAGCCCTCTACTGGACTCTATGGGTACTACTCTCATCAATGATGCGCAAGCGTTCACACTAGGGTTGCCAGAAACTGACCATGATCAAAATCGATTATTCGGCAGCCCTGGCGCATAATAATCGATTATGCGGGGATTTTTCCCAGGGCCATATGTGCACTAAACGCTGCTAATATTTAAATGATATAAGCCTTCCGTGCAATACGAGGGGCATCGTGCAATTTAATTTATTATTTATTTATGTACATATTCCCTATCACATCTATTTTAAGTCCCATTTATTGTTTTTATAGTGTCTTGTTGTTTTTATATTGTCTTGTTGTTTTTATATTGTCTTGTTGTTGCGTGTTGGCACCTTGAGTTTATTGTAATTTCGGTGTACCTGTACAATGACAAAATTAAAGATCTATCTATCAGTTTGAGAATGTACAATTGGCCCAGTCTCCTCTGATGCAACCTGCAACCTGCCTGTGGGACAGAGTCTGTGTGTCAAACACATGTCCTGCAATAAACATGCTGCAGCTGCCTAGCTACTCACTGTTTGTAAAAGTAAATAAATAGTATTTTCATTTCAATAATGTAGGCTACTTTCTATACCTTGCTTCATAAATAATACTGACATCACTGTGCTCCTCCGAGTCTGGGGGTCAGGGGATGTGAGGACAGCGCAAGGACACATACAGGGAGGCTAATTTAATTCATAAAGGAAATGGCAGTCAATATTAACAACACAGGAGCTAAAACGCTTAATAACCTTCATTACGTGTTAGAGAAAGAACATAAGAAAGTTTGACAAATATGAGGCTGTTAAACGAGCAGCGAATCCGCTGTGTATAGAAAGAGACAGAGAGAGAGAGAGAGAGAGACGCTGAGCTGCACCGTGCAGCGATCAGCTGATACGGCAACACGGAGCATAGGGAGTGTTAGAGCCAGTATTTTTGATTTGATAAGAAAGGCCACCTAATTGTGACGTCTGTAGTCAATGCACTATAAAGGACTACAATTCCCACGGCGCCTGTGCTAACGCCACAGTGATGGGCAACCTGTTGAGAGACGCCGTCGAGGAACAGTTTTTAACCGTACTCAACCGTACTCGTACTCGTACTCGTAACCGTACATACAAACCGTACAAGTACCCTTTAAGTTGTGAAGTTATAAGCATTATCAAGAAAGAAAGAATACCTAAGTTGTGTTGTTTTATTTGAGTTTGCCTATTTCTTTTGAATATTGTAAAGGCCTATTTTTCTTTGTTGCATGTGCAAAAGTTTGTTATTTTATTTTGAGCAAACACATCGCAACATCTTCTAAACCAGGGGTACTCAAATACAAATCTTAAAGGTCCAAAATAAACGTTTCAATAAGACAAAGGTCCGTTTATTACGGTCATTCAAACTTTTAAACAATTGCAACAAGATTCTTAACACGAGGTTGCAAAAACAAAAAAAATCTGTATGCAGCAGTTTTCATTGTTATTGTGTCTGTGCTTGACCCCTCAGAGTCGCAGTGTAAGAACTGCACAGTTATGAATAAAGGCAGCTGCACCCTCTTTCATTCAGCATTCCCATTATTGCTTTATAAATGTATTCCCCCCCCCCTTGTGTGTCCACTGAGGTTCGTCAGGCCCAACACATCTTCAACAAACTCCCCCTTTGCCTCATCATAAAAACTCACAAACAGCAGCAACTGAGCATTGTCAGTGGTGTCAGTGGACTCACCCACAGCTAAGGAAATGCACTGTGCATTTTCTATTCCATCACAAAGCTGATGAATCAAATACCAGCCAGTATTTATGTTCTTCTGGTTGCTGTGCAATCTGAGAGGGGGATTTGCTTGATTTGACCTGTTATTTCCTCTTTTTGTTTGCCTTCAACATGGTCTCCATCACTTCAGTCATGCATTCTTTTATACTGCAGTTATTATCCAGTGGAAAGTCCTTAGCTACTGGCCTAGTTCAATCAAAGTGGTTACTTTTTTTTGGCTGGGCAGTGTAGTTTTACACACCGTCTTATTTGACTTTCTCAGGACTTAAAACAGTTTTTTGGGGGCAGACCCCCTCAAAGAAAATAATATATTTACACACGTAAGGTCATCATCTTAACAGTTTGTTATGCTCATCCGTGAGCAGAGCATCAAGTTGACATGCTATTACAGCTGAATGTGGCGATTACCATTTTGTTCAGCAAAACGCCTCACAAACGTATTAAGATCAACAGCGTTAGTGCGTTTTGATTCAATGCTGAGTACAGCCAAACTGACAGTCTCTTCTCTGTCAGTGTAGACCGCAAATACCTCATTCCTTCAGTGCTTGGGTCCGAATGCTTCTCGTTTTGTGCCGTCCTGTTCAAAGGAAATCGCGCCAGGACCGGGGGAGGGGTTACATGACGTGCATCTTGTGCTGCATTCACTTGCACTCGGACATTAGAGACTTTCTCTCATAAATGTCCGATGAGCCTCAACTTTTCTTTCAAAACAAAGCTGCCAACTGGGGTGGCAAGGCTATTTTTAGGGTGTCAGTTGCCACCCCGGTAGGTGAAACTAGGCTACTAAAGCGGAACAGAGCGCTGTTTGCAGTCTATGGACATAGCGGATCATTTTGACTCGTTGCGAAGTCTCGCAGATAACACAGATAATACATATGAAAAGTATAATTTGCTCAGAGTCCAGAGACAGTTGTGGTTCGGTCCGGATCCGGACCGGAGTCCGGACTTTGAGGATGCCTGTTCTAAACCATCGGAGGCCAAGCAACACTTAAAACTGTGAGTAATTTAAGGAAGGAAACGAGTTAGAACTGTCTGTTTAAGGTGTCTAGTGGCTTGGTGGAAAAACAAGGAAGGAAGCCACAACATTGTTAAAAACTCTCGTGACGGACAAATCCGTGTGGAATTAAATGGTTGCCACCATATTATTATAATGAAGGAAATACTCTTGGAAATGAATGGATACGAGCAGATGTGAATCGTGAGTTTACAAATCACGGACTTTATAGTGAACAAGGAAGGACCGCATTGACTTTCTAGATTGTGACAACGTGGATTTCTGTGGAAAAAGGCTCGTGCCGCATGTTGTGGATAAATTCGCTTATGAATAAAGTGTGGAACGTAACTCAAGGAGCGCATCTTGAAAAGCGCTTTAATAAGTTTGTTTATCTGGCTTACTGCCGCGGATCCAAGCCGCACACTAACAAAGCGCAACATTAAAATAAGGACAGCTGTTTACAAGTGGATGTTTAATGACAATAAAGCATAACAATGGCTGAAAAGGAAAATGTGGAAACGAATGAAACTCCTATGGACCCAAACGTGCCCGTGGAAAATGCTGACGTCAGACCAAAAAGAACAATAAGACCTACAGAAAAGGCTTTAGAAGATAAGCTGGCGCAGTTAATACAAAAAAGGAGAACGAAATTGGGTCAAGTCTCAAGGAAAAAAAATGAGATTGATTCACTCATGATTGATTATGGGAATATCATTGAGATGCAAGGTTGTCGTGGGTTTTTTCAAATACTCTCCAAAGAGTTTTCAAACTCACATTACTCAGTGCAAGAAATGCTGTCGGAGCAAGAACAAAAAAGTGATCATGATGACTGGTATCTCCCAAAAATTGCATATTTCAATGAGTTTCAAGATGTGATGAAGAAATGGTTAACTAGAGCTAAAGAGTTCTAAAGTAAAAGTAAAAGTTCTAGTGGCAGCAATACATCTTCAACAGCTTCATCAGTAAGAAGAAAGACAGAGGCAGAAAGAGCTGCGCTCAGATCACGCGCTGCTGCCTTATCACAGAAACACTCATTTGAAAAACAAGAAGCTGACCTGGAAGCAATGAAAGCCAATATCAGAGCTAAAATGGAAAAGCTTGAGCTTCAAACTGATATTGATGCTGCAACAGCCAAAATTAAAACATTGGAAGCTTCTGAGGATGATGACTCTGATCCTGACGCTTGTGTGGGAGAGGAGCAGTATGACACGGGTCAGCCAGATGAAAATGATGATTTCCAGGATGAAGA